TCTTAGGCTACTTATTATGTGTCATTTTCGCCAGATTATTTTTGATCAATAATGATCTAGGTGTCATAAGAAGCCGGATGTGACACCTAGATCATTATTGATCAAAAATAATCTGGCGAAAATGACACATAATAAGTAGCCTGAGAGCGTTCGGTTGGTCTTGCTTTTGACACCGGTCGCCAACAACTCCACGCCAAGAAGCGATCCAACCCCAATACACGCACTCAGTTCTCTCTCGGCTGAGATGTTCGAACCCAACTTGTAGTTCTTCTCCCACTCGACCCACTCGCTGTTTCTTTCCCTCTTCCCGACTTTCCGTGTATATTCCCACCCGCCTTCTTCCAGCCGTTAACCTTCCCCACTTTTCCATCTCCACCGCGATCAGGGACCAGAGAGGGAGAGGCTCAAGCTCCTGTACTCCGCCTACGACCTGTCGGGAGTGGCGCCCAGCGAAGAGCGACGGAAATCGAGCCAATCGAGCGGAGGCAGCAGCTTGAGCGGCGGAAACAGCACCGCGGGCGGCGGTGGCGGCGGCGGCGGCGGCGGCAAGGCCAAGCCGTCCCGAAGGAGCAAGTACCTCACCCTCGAGGACATAACGGCCGTCCTCGCCAGCGCCTCGCAGGCAGCGGCCTACCCGGCCCTCTTGAGCTTTACCACGGACGGTAAGGGCGGCATGACCACCGGCCACCTCAGCGGCGGGGGGGTTATCGGCGGTGGCGGAGGAGGAGGCACCGGCGGCGATGGCATGTTTTGCTGCAGCTGCTGCTGGTGCTGCACGGGTTGCAACGGCGACGGCTGTAGCGGCGGAGCGGGAGCCGGAGGCAGAGGGGGAGGCGGAGGCGGAGGCGGCGACAACGACCGCGGCTGGTGTGGTGGCGGAGAGTGCAAAGGAGGGGCGGAAAAATCACCCCGAAATGGGGGGGAGGGTGGGCTCCCCTCAAAGGAGGACAGCCTTAGGGATAGTGAGGAAGGAAAAAAGGAGGCGTGCGGCGGGAGGGGAGGGGGCAGCAGCAGCAGTAGCAGCAGCTGCAGCAGCGGCAGGAGCAGCAGGCGAGGTTGTAGCGCCAGGGTTAGCAGGGACCCGGAAGCGCTGGCGGAGCTCCTCCGGGAGATGGCGCAGCGGAATGCGGAGAGATACGCGGCGGCGGCGGTGTCGGAGTTCGGCCAGGCGCAGGGGGGCGCCGGGCTGACTCAAAAGGAGTTCGAGAGGTGGGCCCTGACCGGCCCCGTCCTTCGGTGCCGCATCAACGAGTTCTCGATAGACCTCAACCTTGCCCCTTTCCGGGGGGTGCGGCTGTGGTGAGAGTGAAACGGGCAGTCCCTAAGAGGGGCGTGCGTTTTGGCAGGTAGGCTTCTGTGTCTTCCGGCGGCGGGGTGTTCTCTTCTGTTCTCTTGTGGTTGTCTGTCGGGGTTCTTGGTGGTGGCGTGGGTGTGGTGGGAATGCGTGTTGAGGGTAGGCGGAGGAGGGGTTATTGGGGCCAGTGTTCAGTGGGGGAGGGGGGGGAAGGACAGCGAGGATTTTCAGCGTAGAGGAGTGTCTGCTTATGGGGGTAGGGATGTTTCGGTGCTGGTCTGGTCTTGACAACGACCTGGGTTGTTGCCCTACAGGTGGTCAGGTCCGGGGAGGGAGGATGGTGCGATCGGTTCACTCACGTGGTATTAATACTTTCGTACAAAGGACCTGCTGTAATGCGTGCAAACTACAGATATGCAGGAGGATCCAGATGGCATTGCGACTGTCAAAACCTCCCTTGTAATTATTTTGGCGGCTTGTTAGGCGTGGCAAGAGGTTATTTACTTTACCATCAGGTCGGGTAGGAACGGGATGGATGAACGCGCCTAAACCCCCGCCCCCGCCGCCGTCGCTCATCAACTAGCGTACGTATGAGTCTTGTGTACTTTGCACGTTTGCGCTAGGAGCTCACGTTGAAATGGCTTGAGGCAAACAGACAAATTGGGGAGGGGTGTACTAGTAGGGAAGGTAGGCTCTGTAGGTGTATGACGTAGCTGTAGGCTGTGGGTAAATCCCACCGACCCTCCGCGCGATGCAAAGCGCGGAAAACTTGCTTGCAGCGAGCAAGCGCGTGCGAGGAGCAAATAAAGAAGAAAAGTAGGGCGCGGTGATGAGAAGGGGAGATCGAGATCTCGCATGGCTCAGATTTTATCTTCTTGTTTGTTCTCGTGCCCAGGTGGTGCAGATAAGTCAGTACATAATGGTGATATATGGTGAGAATTGATGTCGGGTTGCGTGAGGATAGAGAGAGAGAGAGAGAGAGAGAGAGAGAGAGAGAGAGAGACATGGAGACAGAGAGACAGAGAGAGAAACAGAGGGAGACAGAGAGAAAGAGAGCAAGGGGGCATTTTTGATGTTGTAAAGTCTAGCAGTGAAGCGAGTTGTGTGCACATGCATGTCCACAACGGCGCAGGACGGTCATTTTTCCAAGTCATGTCAAATGTGTGCCTCATTTTCTGCAGTATTAGTTTAAATGAGCAACACATAATAACACGTTATGAGAATGTCAAGACAATAATAATACTTCACGATACAGATAGATGTGTTGACGCAAAAAAAAAAAAAACATCAACAGCAGCAGTCTAGATAAGCTTCCACACAGAGCCAGCTGTCTCTTGTCACTAACCTCTCCCACGGAAAACGCATTTGTGGCGTAACGCACACCCGCTCGTACTGCTGTACGTCTCTAAACAATGCATTATCATTGTTTCGCACATTTGCGCGTCCAAGAGGTCGTTCGCGTAGTCGCCACGCGCATGTAGACTACAGGATCACGAAAGAGCCGATCGAGTTTACACAAAATTTGCTGCGAGTTAGATAACAATTTGGGGGAAACGTCTGAATATTTGAGCATGTGGAGATGCTGGGTAACCCTGTTCATATTCATGACAAACTGCTGTGTGGCAGGTATTCTTTGAGCACCCGCGCCCAACGCAGTCTGGGGAGCGATCACCACTGGACGCTCAAATACAACAGGACCCGTTATTCCATAGACTCTTTCGGAGAAAACTTTCTTGACCACGGAAGTGCAATTTGCCATCACACCGGTGTTTTCCCCTCACCCGTTTTGAGCACCTTATGCATTGCGTAACCGCTAAGGCATGCAAAGCATAAGAGTATGCATTGCGTTGAAGCACGAAGTGGCATTCACCTACAGGGAGGGGCGACATCGTGCGTTGCCACCAACGCCGGTTGAGCTACAGCACTTTTCGGGTGCAGCTTTAGGGTGTCCAACCGGGATGGATCTCGGCCAACAAACAGTCTTCGAGGCACACGGGAGGAACGACAGTTCCGTGTAACGCTTAACAGCGTCGACATCGGATCTAGCAAGGCATATACATCCCCCGCAGTGTAAGGCAACAGTCTGACCATACAAACCGTATGAACAACAAAATAAATAGCGATTGAGCCGTAAAGTCAAGGCAACCGCAACCCCGACCCCCTCTACCTCTCTAACAACACCTTTGATTCGCCGTTTCCAGCACCACAGTACATACGTCGTGACATCGTTGACATCGACCAAGCTACAAACAGCTCGCGGGATGGGTCGTTTCGCCTCCTGTCGCTGCTGCATACACCAACAAGGCCAACCACAAACCACCAAAACAAAAAGAAACAGCAAAGAAATGGGAGTGAAACGTCAAAACGAACGGGCAAACAGCAAAGGATGTAGCACAGGCCGATCGACTTTCGCCAAATTGCCGTTGTGCCTGCGCATGCCAGCAGGCACAGGCGGGATTCAAACTCGCCCCCGGTTACCAACACCGTTTAGCCTGCTGCTGTGCAGTTGGTCGGTCTAAAAAAATCTCGGAAAAAACTAACGGGGTCGCCTTGACTTCATACCAGAATGCTACGACAGTGTTTTTGAGACCCTCCGCAGTAACCGCAAATTCCCGCGAGGTACAGCGTAACTCAACTAGTGATACTGAATAGTGGTACGCACCAAATTACACTGTCCCTGGTGTTGGTGTGAAGGGAATGCCGTTTAAGGCAACAAGGGCGGGGGGGGG